GCGTACACAATTCTGTTGTAACATCGATACAAAAAGTAATCTTTTTTAATCTTATATCAATATCAGCGAATGTCTATCCAAACATTACCGAAGGACTAATATATTTACTTTATTCACATAATTACTAAACCAAAATCAATTTTTGGTGCTGTTCTCAGATAGGACAGGCCGGGATGCTTTAGTTCAACCACGCGATGTTAATCATCGCTAATGGTAGGTATTCGGGATCCCATCTCATTCATTTGATTGATATTTACAAACCACTCCCGGGAGAAATTACGATCATTTTACATATACCGGACATCATATAATTATAATTATTGCTGTAGATGTGAACGAAATGACATGAGGTCTGATTGGAAATGTGAGTTGATATTTTTCCTCCAATGTGTTGTTTGCTAGAGGAAATTTTCACTTGTGAGTACATTTCATTATGATATATTTGATTATTTCATCCATTTCAGACAAATGTTTTTAATTTGCATAATGATCCCTTTTCACTAAATAAGAGTGTATATATTTTTTTGTTGATTCTTCAGATGTCAACTCTCTTACATTACTAAAACAAGTTTATTATTACATTTTGTATAAGAGATGATAGGTAAAATTTGCAAAAAGGTGTTACTTTATTAATTTTACCTGTAGTTGAGGATAACTATATATATTTATGGACTCTTTCAGTAGCGAATATGGTTTGGTATTCACCAGGAAAATATCAATATTGACCTCGGCTTCTAAATATTGGCCTTGACTTCCGAATATATAATATACATTGTTATATAGACCGGGTTGAATAAATAAGACATTGAAGGGTGCATGGTGACACCATTTCTATTAACGAACTTCCTTCGCAGAAAAATTAAAAAAATACCCAGATTATAAGATGATACTTCTGTGTATTCCTTTCGTAGTGTGCAAGACAATGGTTTTCAAGGGTTAAAAATTTTTCAATGAAATATTCCTATAGAACCAATAAGGAAAAAATCCTTTCAAAAAATCTATGGAATATTTTTTATCGTTGTTTGAAAATGAAAATGGTAAAATTTCAATGTCCGTTAATAACTTATAAATATACAAAGATATATAAGATCCTTTAGTGACAACTTCGAGAAGTTCAAAACACCTCATACATCAACATGTATTATTCACATCTTTTTAAACCTATAAATCTTACAATAAATCCTTTATAAGGTGGCAGAGGGTATTTTTTCTTCAATCAAAACATTTGGCTCATGTTTTCCATAATATATGTATGAGCTGATTGTGAAATATGTTTTGAAATTTTTTAAAATTCTCTTTGTATGGAACAATACACTATATAGCTTGTTCTATAGTTCCTTGAGGCATTTGAAGCTTTAAAAACATGTACAACTTACATACTGGGCCCAAATGATGACAAAGGAACGTCTCAAATTTTCATGAAAATTTGACCTATTTTCACTATTTCACCAAATCCGCAACAGCTTCCAGACCTGTGTAAGTGCTCGTCGCTATCACACAAAATGCAGGCCAAGACCTGTGCATACCACTGAACAGCAAGACATAGCGCGACCATCTTCCTTTCAAGCTACACTTCATCCCATGAACCCACCCCGCTTTTACGAGGATGCCCCGGATTCATGAATGATTTTTTCACTTCGTTCTCGTATTTCCAATCCATATCCTATAAATGAGAGTACATCTATTGATACTTAAGTGTCATATATCAGTAAATTTTACAAGACCACCACTTCCTTAAAAAATGTACGCATAAATTATTCTAGTAATTAAGACATCTAAACTATGCATGAGTATGAAGATAACGAATAATATAATCAAGCTCAAATGTCCATAGGAACAATACAAAGGAGCAGAGCAAACACGGACCTCAAAAAACATCAGAGGTGGGATCAGGTGCCATAGAGGAGTAAGCACCTTAAGTTTCGTATGTTTTGAAATATTTGAGATTCTTTATTCGAAATAATCTTCTGCCACCTAAAGAGTTACTCTTCTGTTGCTCCTCTTACAGGGGAGAGAACTGCTGCTGCTTAAGTCTCACTGGTTGTTAGAGGAGTCTTATCATGGATAAGTCTACAGAGTAATCTAAGCTAAATAAAACTCAAAAATCGGTTCTTATCTCAGGAAAGTTTTATGATCCTTAATTTAAGCATCATAATAGCAATGCTACTATTTTTTATGATTCTTGTACCATTTCGAACAATTAACCCACACAGTTTTCACTAACTTTGTTATTCGTGTTTCCCGCCCCGTTGTACCTATGTTGCTATTTTTAACATTTTGTTCTGCATAATAGATTGTATTGAACGCTTTAGTCCCAGTGTATTCTTTTAAGATAGAGCATCTAAGAAATTTGTTGCTTAGGAGTTTCGCAAATAATTCATTTAAAACAAGACCTTATACCTAAATAAGGTCAAAAATATTTTGAAAAGGTTCACATGCGAAAAACTGAAACTTTTTTTGAAAATGAGTTTCTAAATTGGCGTGGGCGAGGATAACGCGTTTCCTAGATGGTCGTTATAGTAACAAGTGAGTAGAGACCGTGCGGACAGATCTTGATAAGATGAGACGGGCTTCCGACTAGCGTTTGTTGACTGGTTCTAAGAATCATTTCCCGTCAATGTCGGAATTTTTCAAATCGATAAAATACAAATCACCTTGTAAATTGAGCCAAAATCACCTCTGAAAGCGAGGCGACATAATCACCGAACGTGGTAGATATAGCAGCCACTGGCAATACGATTTGACAAGTGGGTGCAGTCTTCAAAGGAAGTTTGATGACGTCATAATAAATTATATGTAATGTTTTCTTCTTTATATAATAATTAAATTCTGAAATCACTGTATGAAGACGAATAGACTGGATTTTACTGTAGCGTTGAAGTAGAATTATTCGGGCCACGTGTAATATCTTTTTTTTGGAATACCTCTTCGATAAGTCAAAATCGCAAAATGTATCACAGAATTATTTTATATTATTGGGATTGTATATATTTTTTTGAATTCAAATGCTACCTTTACAATACATTTTTTGTAAACTTAAATAACAAGGAATTTGAAGGTGTAATAATATTAGTTTAATTAGTTTAGAACGGAATTCGTAGTGTATTACACTGTAGCTGCTATACATATAGTGTTTACTAATGTCTTTGGCATTTTTCCCCGTGTTATGCACAAATTGATATTGAAAGCTTTAGACGAGAAAATTACAGGAATGGATTACATAATAGCAAGGATCACTGTTATTCTGCAACTATAACTAAGGTTCTTTTTGCGGTCATATTAGATGTATGCTTCGTGAGAAATGCAAGCGCCAAGTTAGATCGGAATCTGGGCTGCGTTTGGTACGTATAGGCTTAGGTATACAAGTATGGTTAAGTTTTACTGTGTACCACGCGTCACGAGTGCGTTTTATTTCGCTCCGTTAATGTCTTAGTGTGAATCAAGTAGCATCGATTTCTGTTCTTGTTATGCAAGTGGTCTCGCTTTCAGTGGCTTACGTCAAGTGTTTAGGTGAAAATCTCGCACACTGTAAAATGTTGCATTCGTAATGTTTACGATGATATTTATTATCGATTTTTCTTTCTCTTTGTCATGCTGGAAATCTACAAACTGACGATAGATTTTTAGATATATGCGTGTAGATTTTTAAAGATTTAATGTAATTGTTGTGGAAGACATGCATGATCCGTAAATATGAAGTAAAACGAGGTACGGTTCTGTACCATACTACGGAGGTTCCCAAGGTACAAAGTGGGTAATTAGTTTGTTAGATTTGCAATGAAAAGGAGGGAAGTTTAGATAGGAAGGCTTTGTAGGTAAATCAACTGGCCTAAATGCGTAAAACTTGATAAATCTTAATCTGTATTTATAGTAGGAAAGCTGAATTTACGACTGATTTAGAAAGAAATATTTTTTTTAAAGGCAACGGTCAGAATATCATATCTAGTCAAATTATTGTTATCAAAGAGGAGGCCAAACCGTAACGGAGTCACACTGGACAAAACTTCATCCTAACAATGGGTCAGATTGGTGAAGACGTTAGGCCAAGCACTACAATCTAGCAGAATCTGCGCCGGCAAACCTAAAGCCTAGCCACTATTCGCCAAGACTATTTTGTAGAACACGGTTGCAAATAATAAATAAAAAAATTAAATTAAATTAAAAAAAAAACAGCAAAAAATTATGGCCCAAAGTAATAAACCGTCATATGAATATATCATCCCAGCTAATCAACACATTACTTTAAAACGTATTATTTTATCACTGCCAAGTACATGTTGTTCGTGATAGATCTGTATCTCACAAATTGCTGAGAATGAACGCGGGCATGCGTATATCAGCATAGTCGCGTTTCCCTGCTGAGACAAGTGTATTAATTAGAGTGCAACACTGATAAACAGGAAAATCTTTTGTTTCGGTGGAAGCATTTTTAGAAGTTACACCGTACCAAAGAACAATATACTTCAACAAAACATTGTATATAAAACCACTGGACTGCCGATGTATAGCGAAAAATAACTAATGACTGGAAATCGATATACCATGATGCGCGTGTTACTAACTCCCCATCACGAATGTGTAGAGGAGGCCTGTAGCCGTGTTTCTAATGTTTACACATTCAATGGGACCTGTTTCAGGTCATAAATCGAAGGAAATGCATTACTTCCTATTCTAGTGCAGCCTCGGATTTCTGCGACAAAATTATTGTTTATTCTGGGTGATTATTAACATCGATCAATCTATAACGGGAACAAACGCCTGACGTCTACCTGTTTACCTTGTGTTTTTTAAATTTACACCAGGATGTTTTGCTTTCTTTGTGAGTAGGATATGACATCATCGTCTATCTCATATTGATGTCAGCTCACTCATAGCTCTAACCTACTTTCAGTTGTTTTGAAGATGTAGATATTGCGTAAGCATGACATATGCTCTTTGCCTTTGCAGGTTTGGGTCTCAGATGTCATGCTTCTTATCTGATTTGTTAATGTACTTTGCAGGTCTGGGTCCCAGGGACACGAGGGCGAGTCGGCAGCTTCACTAGTCCATCGAGTGTCATCACGGCGCAAGCGGGAATCCAATGTCAGTGTGGACCATTTCTCTATCCGGAGACCCCGTGACAGTCTGAAACCTGAGGTAAAGATAGCTCCAAACCCTACCATCACGTCATATCCGCCGGCAAGCACTGGCACCTCAGATGCCGAGAACTCGCCGCTCATCATGGGTGTGCAAGGTGGAGAGACGGGTGATAGTCCGGGACGGTATTATCCAGATGATAAGAACGATGGTCCCCCGGACAGTGAAACCATCATGAGGAGCAAAAGAGTATCCAAACGGGTGGTATTAAATGTTGGTGGTGTAAAGCACGAGGTTATGTGGAGAACATTAGATCGCATGCCACACACACGTTTGGGGAGACTACGCTCCTGTAATACACACGAAAGTTTGCTGGAAATCTGTGATGATTATTCGCTGGAATGTAATGAATATTTCTTTGACCGACATCCAAGGTCTTTTTCTTCCATTTTAAACTTCTATCGTACGGGTAAACTACATTTAGTGGAGGAGATGTGTGTGTTGTCTTTCAGTGATGATTTGGAATACTGGAATATCGACGAATTGTACTTAGAATCATGTTGTCAACACAAATACCACCAAAGGAAGGAGCATGTGTACGAAGAAATACGTAAAGAGGCAGAAAGCCTGAGACAACGAGAATCGGACGAGGATTTCGGAAATGGCATGTGTGCTAAATGGAGGAAAAAAGTCTGGGACTTGCTTGAGAAGCCCCAATCTTCAATGGCTGCTAGGGTTGGTATTATTTATTGTAAATGGAGAACTTTATCTACTTTTTCTTGTATTTCGATGTGTTTATTATTCTGACACTGTAATTAACTATCTTTCTCGTAATGCGTTTACTGGTGATAAACACGGGAGAACAGATGCTGAGATAGGCCTCTGTTATTTGACACCTCCATACTCTCAATCTGTTAACGAGTGATAACACTCTAAGCAGGGAGCCTGTCCGTCAATGTTTTTCATGTAAACCAATTGTTCTCTAATTCCTTTCTTTATTGTAAATAGTATTATTTCTTTTTAAAGAAATCGATGAAAAATCCTCACTGTTACTTGTTCAGTCGATATAACAAAAAAATTATAAAAAAAAAAACTCTGAAAATTTAAGAAAAGTTCTGATGAATGCAACAAACTGCGCGTAGGAGGGAAGACCTATACGAATCCTATCAATTGAGATGGGAAATGTGTAATTTCACCGTATAATGATGGGAAATGGTGCAGAGCAGATTCTCTGGGGGTCAGACGGTGATGTATAGAGTTAAGAAAATTGTCATTCCTCGATGGCTCCCCGTCAGAAAAATCCAGTTGCAAATTAACCAATTAGCTGTGTATTGGAAACAAATTGTGAGCTGGAATTTACTTTTGGGATAATCTGGAACTATATGTAATGGGGGTTTATTTCCCTAGCTAGAAGAACATACTCACTGAAATTGGCCATCTTGTAAAGAAGATTGCTGAAAATGTGAATTATTGAACCCTGTTGCTCAGCTATTGTTGTTGTTCGTGATTTATTATGCTACGTTTATTAATTTGCGTTTGAAATATGTGTTGGCATAATTGAAATCAATACAACGGTAGCCCCTGCTTCTTTTTCTATGTATCAATTTTCTTAACTTTCTAGAAATGAGAGTGTTGCCTTTATTGTAGAGAAGTTAGGAATGATTATATTATTCATTTCCCGAGATAGATCTAACTCATTTCTTGGAAATATTTTCATCTTAATTTAAGTAGAACTAATAAGATCCAAACTCTGTTTCCGTCTTTTGGCAGATTTTCCATAGAAAGAACTTTGACTAAGAGATTTCAAGGGCGAAGCACAGTTGCTTCGTTCTGATAATTATTTTTGCACGTGTTTATGATTTTTCTTGCCCGAATTACCTCCACTAGACTCCCCCACTTGTTTACGTTATCGTTTCATGGTTAAACAGCAGTGGCACAAAACAGCTAAAGGCAGATGGCAGTTATTTTCATCTTCTCTCGCTCTGGGTTTTCAGCTTGGAATACCGTATAAATGCTCGTCCTGTCTAAGATGATCGATTTCTTTCTTTTGTTTTTATCCTTGAATTTATGAGAGGAAGGTTTTTTTTTTTTTATTTTTTCTAAATTTATAAATGGAACCATAAAATGCACTCATTGTCTAATTCCAGAATTGATATGAAAAGACTTATCAGGAACTAAGAGAGTTTTAAAACAAAAACTCTTTCTAAATTCGTAAATGCAAACCCCTAAAGCACTAAATACCTTTTAGTACCTGAAATGATAGATAAAATGATCTTACTATGAAGTCAGATTAAAAGTTCAGCAAGATTTTCAGTGTAAGTAAATAAAAATGTATTATTTTTTCTTGTAAACATTAAAAAAGATAAATAATATCTTGATTTAATTTTGTGTGTGTGCGTGGGTGGAAGCTTGCTGGGTTACCGTAGTCATGGTAATGGTCCGTATAGGAATATGTCTGACAGTTGTAGAGTTCCAGACGTTTTACCATGATTACGGTTCATTGTGATTTCAGAATGGGTGTCAGTCTCGGAAACAACTGTATTCTGGTACTCGCTAGTATTTCTTTACCCTGTAGTTTGAACTGTATTTCATTTAAGTAACACATCATATACAGCTGTATACAAAATAAACGATTCACACAGGATTCAGAAACAAGTTATTCCAACTTATATTTAGTCCGTTTCCTTAAAGTTTCTTCCAATAAAAAGTGCACATTTGTTCTTGTGACATTTGTAAAAATAATTGAAGACAAAAAGAAAGAAAAATATGAAGTAGTAAATGAATAAATATTTGAAGGGATATTTTAAGTATATATACACATGTAAAACAGTCGAAAGACGAACGAACAGACGAGTTTTTAAAATTGAACAATATGGCCTCAATACAAACAAATGTCTTTTAGGTGCGGAAGTAAAATGGTGTATACATTTTAAAAAATATATATTAGTATTCCAAGAAAAAATTCCCAGTTCTTAATGAGTCAATAGTTTTTTGTTGTTTTTTTTAACATCTTTGAAGAGAGGATTTCAAGTAAAAAATGTGCTGTTGTTAAAATTTTTGCACAAATAACTCAATTTTAATTATCTATTATGTGTATTTTATTAAAAAAAAAACACCAAATATACTAGAGTTAAGTCTAAGGCTTGTGTATAATTGCGTTTATCCAAATAGAAAATATTTTGGAGATTTTTAAGCGTTTAGGCACGCGTTTTTAAATTTGATATTGGAGGATTCTACTTGCACGTGTTGGAAAATCGTTCCAAAGCTTTGTAGTGGACGGAATAAATGAATGTGGCTATTAAAAGTAATCGTTGTTTAAACAGTTTGCTCCGTCCTACCTTAATCAGACCCGGAACATACTGCAACCTAATTATCTCAGACATGCTTCCTTCCTCTAAGTCATACAATGGTCCATTTTCCGTCCCTCTGAAATTAACTTCGATAGCCCATTTGAAGATTGTGTTATTTCTCTGTACCTTAATATGTATATTTGCATTTAGTACTAATATATCATAATATGTACATATATTAGTACCAAATACAAATAACTTAGGTTTGATGTTTTGCTTTCGAATTCAATTACTTCTGCCTCTAAGATCATCGAGGTTTCGATCTCTTGTGTTCACTGTTAATATTAGCATGGATAGTCATGGACAGAAAACTATTGCAAAATGTTTTACTGTGTCAACGTATACACTGTAAGTTTAGATTTACACCAGCCAGCAATTCGGATTAACATGGATTTCATTTAACAATTACAGAGATTGTAAAAATGAATTTAGACTTGTGAAGATCATACCCATAAATTCACCCCTATATCAACAAAATAAGTGGTTACTTTCGACTTGTTTCTACAATATGATATTTGTTTACAAGCTAAGAACCTTTGATATTGTAGTGGCTCTGGGTCTGTAGAACTTGAAAATGTTTTCTAGATGTATTTACCTGGGTTTTTTTTAATAGGGCTCAGATAAGATTTTATGAAGGAATTTTATGACTGTGAACATTATCTGTTGCAACTCTGGCAATACAATAATAGCTATTTTCAAAGCTTTTCTGCTCACTGTTTCGTGAAAGGAGACGTTTACAGAATCGGCTGTCGCTATTGCCCTTTCCACGATGAGTTAGAACATCATTAGGAGACTTATTATATTACGCTATGAGAGTAATAACTTTGTTACATCATTTCGCCTCAGAATTACTGACTGAACATTATCTCGTTACCGATATATAAAGTGCAGACAGATATTCTGTTTACATCATCATGATCATAGGTACATTTGTTTTGGCTCTTCTGAACGTGTTTATGACTTTGGTATTTGGAAGGAAGGCATGTTTCAGTACTTATCGTGTCTCAGACCTCAGTATTTTTATTATACACGGCTTGTGTGGTAATTCCGCAGTAGACAGTCTTCACTAACGATATATAGGGTATTGTTCCGGTTTGTTAGTCTGAGAGAGAAGCCATCTGTGGTCAATGTCATGGAATTCATTAGGATCAGTGCTGGAGAGACTGAAATTTAATTGGCAAATCTTAGATTTTATTCAGCTGTAAAATTATTGACATTATTTTGTTCCGTGGACAATTGGTTGGAATATTGCATCGTTCAGTTCGAATCATAATGTGTATCTAAATATATTTGCAAAACGTTTTAATTTCTTTGATCTGCAACTTGAATCTGAAATTTATTTGCAGTTTTTCGTTTTTAAAAATGTTCAACGATTTAAAGTTGTTTCCCTCTAAATCACCTTGTTTTCGGTCATTTATAATTCAGGGGGGAAAATGGAAATTCGATAAGATAACGGATGAGTTTGTCGTTTAAATCACTGATACTTTTTTGAATTTAGAGTAAAAATACATTTTTGTAATCAAATATTAACATCACTCTTCACAAAAATTCAGATAAAGCTAAAACAACGGAAGATCTGTCATTGGAAACTGTAAATACATCAATCTGGCATCATTGTTATCCTGCAAGCTGCATTTTGTAACTTCCATCTTTAATTATAGATTCCCATCATGAATTAATAGAATACCTTGTGTTTTCATCAGACAGGCTTTCGAAAATCAACACACATAAACCAGATTTCTGATCAATGTTCCATCATAAAACAGCATGCTTGTCAAATTAATTTGGAGCGAGCGGAGATTTTATCTAACATTAATCAATTTGTCTTTCAGTGTTGTTTCCTATTTTCTTTGAGATGTCTTAGTACAAGTCCTTTTACTTGTAATAATATGTACTGTGATTTGATTCTGTTTTCTTACTAGTAAAAAAGTGATTTTTTTTCTGGCAAAATAGAAACACTTAAATGAGCCGATTTGTACCTTTTGTGTAAAAAATACAGTAGAAAACTCGTTACTTTTACACCATATGTAACCTACAGTGTCATCAGAGTACATGTTAAGTTTTGAGAAAATCCACGTCTTGGTATTTTTTAAGGTCTGTCTCAAAATGAGGTACATTCACTGATGATAGGATTTCATATTCATTCTATAGCAAATTATACGATACTATGGATACTTTTTGCTCAACTGCCTGGTTTTCAACGAAAGCATTTCAAAATGTCAAAATTTACGAATGATTCCTATTTTTTATGGAGTACTACAAAGATTAGGGATACTAAAGATTCGTACAGAAAAAAAGATAATTGTCAAATTAGTAAATTCCTTTGTTTAAAGCTATGTATGGCGTATCTGAGCTTGAAAAATAAAAATACCAGATTGAGTGTAAATATACATGATATATTTTATTTACGTTCAAATTAAAATTTTCACCGATTTTGAGCTTGAATAACCTCAGGTTTCTATAGTTAAATTGACTTTAAATTGTCTGTTATTTAAATGTGGAGCCTGTAATTAAATCGGTTATTGTTTTAATTTTTTAATATCTTTGAAACGCGATTCATTTCAATTGTGTAATTTACAGGAAAGTTCTATCTTTATATAAAGTAATAAAACAAATAGAAAGATCTTTTTAATTTTGATTACTTGAACTTATCAAAAAATGCTCCATATATGACTTTAAATTTTCCGAAGCAGAACTTTTATACTTTCTTTCTTTTAAATCAATTTCAATGACTTATTTTAAATAGTTTCAGTTTATCATAATGTTTTAAACAAGCATTGACGATGTCCACTAATTTATAAATTAAAGATTCGGTCAAAAAGTAATTTCTGTAAAGAACTTAATTTTTAATTTCTTTGTATCTTCAACCTTTTAATTTTTTAAAATGATTTTAATTTTTTTTTTTAAAAGCGTTAATACATTGTTTTTAACTCTTCTGCTCAAAATATTGTGAAATGAAAACCCCAGTCGGCCGAAAAAAAAATCCGGCAATGAACTATCAGTAAATATTCTGGAACTTTAAAAAAAATTACATGAAAACGCTACATAAAGAAGAGCCCCGATTGATCAGATTTCATATTTGGATATTTTACCAGAAAAAGACGATAATAGATATCTAACAACAAAGGTTAATGATAAACGTGATGACTTTAACTTACTTATGCATCAATATACCCTTATCACCTGCATATAGGGTGTATATCTTTCAGTTGATTCGATGCGCAAGAGCATGCTCTACGTATGAACAATTTCTAAAACGAGGTAAGTTATTGACAAACAAGTTGATGAAACAAGAATATCAACAGTCTCGTTTAAAGTCATCATTTCGTAAGTTCTTTGGTCGATACAACGACCTTGTCAGCAAATACAATCTATCAATAAGTCCTATGCTGACTGACATTTTTACATACTAATTGTTAGGCCATTATTTACACACTGAATTGTCGACGGATTTTTCCGTTATTTCCTGATCAAGACAAGGAGCACACGGCGGATGTGACCGGTCGGCAGGGGATTCTCACTCCTCCATGGCACCTGATCCCACCTCTGATGTTTTTGGAGGTCCGTGTTTGCTCTGTTCCCTATTTGTATTGTTTTAATGGACTTTGAGCTTGAAAACTGTTCGTTATCTCCATATTTCATCTGGCCAATGTGAAAAGTTAAGTACAACATGCTGTAAAGGATATCACTAGAAACTGTTACATGTTCTGTTGTTTTAAGCGTTGTTAATTACATTTCGTCAAGGACAAAGAAGCTGTAGATGATAACTATGTGCTAAAATATTGGTGTTAAATAATATATCGTATTTTCAATACTTGTTTCAATATGTCGATACTTGTTTCAATACTCAAGAGGAATGATTTTAAACAGTTTGATCACTTTACAAGCATTACTTTGATAAAACTTAGAAAAAAAGGACGATGCTGAATATTTTTAACTCTGCATTGAAAATAATATTTTCAGGACAGTTTGACATATTTTAAGTGTTGTATATATCCCGTCCAAAGAAGAAAAATTAACATATCCGATGTGTTGAAATAGCATGTGACTACAAATCGATCAAGTATTTCATGGGTGTTATTTTTTTACTGGTAAAACTATAATGAATGAACTGAAATTCAGAAAATGTATTTAGATAAGATAATGAATTCTGTTAAAATAGTAAAGGTCACTTCGATATGACACTTCTGAGCTGGTCCTTTTTAGAATTCTTGAATTTGAACATCATGTAAAATTATCAGCTTTAGGGGGCAAAACATTCTGAACTGATATTATAATATCTAGACAATTTCAGACTATTGCAAGTGATAGAACAAGTCATTACTAGGTCATACTGTGGAACAAATGATAGACGGGAACACAAACTTTACTATGATATTATATAATGTGTTACCCGTTTCTCGATATTGGCATTTTTAATGTAGAATGAAAATTTTGTTTTTAAAATGAATTGTTCCAATAGAAAGAGTTTCCTGGGAGAAAAAGATTAACTGCAAAGAAAATGACAATTTTGGGATTTCATTTCAGACTCCATTTGAAAAATTCTGGGCCTACCTGGGCCAGGTATAGTACACAAAGCCTGTGTGTGTTACCACATCCCTAAGAGCTCCATACAATACCAAACGTATCGTACACAGATATGACAATACCAACAAATAAATGCCGTTTACTAACTGCTAAATTTCAATGGATTCTACATCCAATTTCATAAGGTTCATTATGAAGTATTCTTTAGGTCTTCTCGGTATTGTCAGATCTCTGTACATATATTTGTAGCAGCTCACCCAACATTCACCATAACTAAAAAAGAAAAGAGCGTGATTTTGATCCAACTTGAAATAATTAAGTAGTTGATTTGATAAATGTGTCTATATTCTTTTTCTTCTAACACATTCTGCCGTCACAAGCTCAGAATGTTTACCTGCATAGAATGGCATTAAACAAAGGCTCACTCTTTATTTCCTTATATCGAGTATATAATGCATGAATGTTTAGTTATTTTATAAACTGAATATATTGCGTAGTTCGAAGGCTTTTTAGAGAGAGAGAAAAAAATATTCATTCAAGTTAAATATGTTGAAGCCGCCTATAGCTTGCTGATTTAGTGTTAAGTTTTGTACCTATCCCTTGTTAATTGTTTCTGGTTGATCGCATGTGGTTATATTTCTGTCATATATAGTAGGTCACATCAGAAGCTGAGCTTAGAGAGTAGGCAGTAGAATGCATTGTTCTTCTCAAAATTGTGAAAATTGAAATCATCATTTGAAGATTCAAAAATAAATGTGCAATTAATTTCTAAAAATATCAAATGTTCTTTTCTTCATAAATACTGTAATTTGTAGCTCAGAATAAAGAATTCCCTATCATCTATATATATATCTATGTATATATAAACGTTCTCATCATACAGACACTCATGTTGTTGGTATTCCTACAAAAATCTGCCGTTGTTTACAACAAATACATGTACACTAAAAGACTATTATTTTTATGTTTGGAGGAAAGAAATTAAAAACAAATAAAGGAATTACTATATTTCAGCGTATCCCCCCTCAATCGTCGTTTTGAAGTTTTTGTTGTAAATATAGAATTTCGGAAAACATAAATCAAAATATATATAACTGCTGATAGGTCACGATTTTTTTTATATGTTTCCTCATGAAGGATTTTGCAGTATAAAATCATTAAACTGGTCTCTGTTTCTTTGTAGGTCTTAGCAATAGTGTCCGTACTGTTTATTGTGCTGTCCACCGTCGCCCTCACACTTAACACCATTCCTAGCCTTAATGAGGACAGCGAAGCATCCAACGACCTGGAGATCATAGAAGCCGTGTGTATATGCTGGTTCACTCTAGAATACTTAGGAAGGTTCTGGGCTTCTCCTAACAAGTGGAAATTCTTCAAAGGTCCCTTAAATATCATTGACTTATTAGCCATCTTGCCGTATTTTATCAGTTTGGGGTTGACGGAAACTAACAGACACACAACAGAGCAGTTCCAAAACGTTCGTAGAGTAGTACAAATTTTTAGAATTATGCGAATTTTACGAATTTTAAAACTTGCGCGCCATTCAACAGGTTTGCAGTCATTAGGATACACGCTGCAAAGGAGTTACAAGGAACTAGGTCTTTTATTAATGTTTTTAGCTATAACTGTATTACTGTTTTCAAGTTTGGCTTATTTTGCCGAGAAAGATGTAGACAAAACGAAATTCAAAAGTATTCCAGAGACCTTCTGGTGGGCTGCTATCACCATGACAACCGTAGGATACGGTGATATTTATCCAATGACTACACCGGGAAAGCTGGTGGGTGCTGTGTGTTGTATTTGTGGTGTGTTGGTCATTGCTCTCCCCATTCCTATTATTGTCAATAATTTTGCCGAGTTTTATAAGGACCAAATGCGAAGAGAGAAAGCCTTGCGAAGACGAGATGCTCTGGAAAGGGCGAAGCGTACAGGGAGCATTGTGTCAGTGCATTCCTTTAATATAAGAGATGTGTATGCTAGAAGTGTTGACCTTTTAGACGTTAATGTAGAATCAGGCGGTGGAAGGGGGTCATGTGACAACGGGCACAACTGTGATGTTGGGACTGTCAAAAATGACGGCAAATGCGCGAGTGCCCCACAATTCGTGACGAATTCGTCCGAGGCGGCCATTAAATCATCGAATGATCACTGTGATTTGAACAGTCTTCCTGACTATAAATGTGCAACAAATATAATAGAGACGGAGGAGGGTACAGGCCCGAGGACCTCCTCTAATCCAGCTTTACATTCGGAACATCAGGTATTCTTCTAGCAACTTTTTCATTTTTTTTTCTTGCTCACAATAAAAACTCTCGTTTGTAAACAATTCAATCAAATGACGATGCTAACATAAGATTCTTAATGTACATATGTCTTATAGATTGCTTGCTTGCTTTTAAAAGTTATCGGTTTTCTTCTTCTGTTATCTTCTAGTGCATTTAATCTATGGACAGAGGTCAGATTTTCACCATGCCTTATATATCCCTTACTCCAACAGATAATAAAAGGCAATATATCTATACTAAATGAGACTTTCCTGCTGTTTATAGTTTGATACAATTTATTTGTCGCAAATTTGATACAGACAACTTTTGGAACCTAATAACAGGCTCTGGTCTGGGAAACAAGATGTGTTCTTTGGCAAAAGATTCTCATACAGTGCTGCAACAAGATGCTGACGAGTTACCAAATTAATTAGAAAAGAACAGATCAATTACATTTACAGTGGGCATGGTGGAGGTTTATTTCCTCATGTTTATAAGAAGAAATTCAATAATAAAGCACAGTAGAGGAGAAAATCAATTTTCTTTCAGAGGTTATCTTTTAGATTCTTTTTAACATTTTACACGCAGAGCTTTCCACTGATACACAGCTTGAATATTGATCAGCTCTAATGAACTGATCTTTTTCTAAAGAAGTCACATGTTAATACATTTAATTATCCTGAAATGCTGGGAAAAAAATGTAGCTTAAAATAATCAGATTTCAGGAGGAAGATACCTAAAGCTTAAAATGGTTATATAGTACAGCAAACAGGCAACTAGATAAAACATATGTATATGGAATCTGCATGTTTAAGATAAATCAAGCTTATCTCTAGTAATCTGCATGACACCTCCCTCAAATCCTTTGCACAACTTTAATTAACGGTTTTTCAATCTTATTACCAAACGGGTTTTGCTTTCTCAACCTTTCACCTGAACAAGTAAATTATTAAAAGAACTTTTTTCCAGTTTTTGAAAGAAGCTTAGGCTTCAAATTTTAACAAACTGCATTTTTTTCATGGAAAAAAGGAAAAATTACAATGATACAAAATTTCCTCTCTTTTTTGTGAAATAACTTTTATCTTAATTCCTCCAGGGAAAGCTTGAATACCCACCAACTGCTGAAAATCTCATGCATGCGCGTTGTACCATTGAATTAAAACCGTTAATACGACAGAGCAGCAACACAAGCACTGATACATTTAATAGCTGCTTGACTCACCCCTCAAGCCCCGGAGGCTCGGGGGCACAGGGTCATCTACAGAATAATTGCAACAGACATAATGTTTACGTAAACCCATTGGAGAATTCCAGACTTAGTTCAGTTTTTAATTTGACAGACAGTAGTTCTTGTAGCAAGCCGTTGGATTTGAATGTAGATTATAAATGTTCCGAGAATGTATTTACAACTGACAGTGACTCTGTTCAAATTGTTCAGAAACTAGAAGATGGATATACTACAACTTGGAATCGCAGTGTTCTTCCAAACAATCAACCAAGTCCTCCACCACGGCTTGTGCATCAGAAGAGTTCCGAAGAATCACCGAGAGCACCCGAAAGGTCTCTTCTCAAACGTCACAAATCTGAGACGGGTAATCGACAAAGCAATGTTTCTGGAATCAAGGAACGGTCCTACTCGTCTTCTGATAACATACATGACGAGAGCTCAAGCAAATCAAAAACTGCTAAATTTCGTAAAGCGGTGTCGTTGGCCAGTAGACTGCATTCAAGTCCTTCAACTGGTCGGAAATTAGCTAATTACCATTTAATTGCCAATCCACAATCAGGTATAGTCTTAGAATGACGACGTTGTCTTTAAGTATGCATATTTAAGTGAAGGAGCTTACATGGAAAATGCAAATGTACAAAAGGTATATATATAAAAAAAAAAAAAACAATTAAAACATGTATAATTACATGTTGTAAAAATCCTGTGAGGAAAACCTCGATTCCTTTTCTTAAGATACTTTTCCAACAAATACAGGCCTTTTGGAAGCGTTCATGAATGATTTAAAGAGAAGTCTGGTCAAACATGTGTCTAATTTGAATTGTTAACCTGCATGATTTCTCTGCTACAGCGCTCCGGCTTTGGCATTTTTCTCTGCATTATATCTTAACTAACAGCATCTTCATAACAATATGCATATTTTTGTTATTCATGTCAAATGTGTCTGTAGTTTGCCATGTTCAAAATTTTTGAAAGTATCATGCATATATTCATAAGTTCACCAAGTTCATGACAATGATGATTTAAAACCAAAAAAAGAAAACCCACCATAGAAATGAATTTAAATGGAACACCTTTTAACTGTTTGATTCCAGACGAGAAATTCCTTCTCTACTAACAAGCAGACGACAGAAGAAAAGAGTGTGATGGGTTTCAGGTGTAGTACAGCGTTGGTGTGACCTTTGACCCCACTGTATTCTAGTTCCCTGGCTTATCCCTCTGCTTTCACTTGCTATGTCTGCACTCTATACCTGCAATTTTTAGTCCTGTTTGATCTATAACCAAACCTTAAAAGTACTTTTGAGAATAATTCGTACAATAAACTTTATAATTATAAGAAATTAAATATTCTTTGTTCTTTTAGGGTTATAGTTTTTATTTTAAGTTTCACAGAGCAGCTTTTTAACTCCCTCTCCTAGCCCTGCCCTTTGGAGGTAAACCCGCAGCATGTGTGGTGCCGTTCGACGGTTGTAAGAATAGGATGTTGTATTCGGCTTTTAGTCGTGGTCACACCAGTGTTTTGTGCTTTCCTGAAACTCTTTCATGTATGATTATATTGCGATTTTGTCTTTGCCTTATCAATGTTTCCTTGTATCACATGACTTAAATTTATATCTCAAATTTGCATCGAAATTTTAAGTTTTCACTTCTAAAATCTGCATAAAAATAAATACTCAAAATTGATTTACAAAAGTTACGCTCGATCATTTTACCATCTTTTTCCCCATAGAAAAAACTGCTTTTTCTGTCAGTTATAAATCCTTGCGAGTGATATCATATTTCGGATTACACATATGAGTTTCTATTAGATTATTCTTTTTCATAATATCTGACAATAAACGACTTTGATAAGCCCATGTAGCTTCTTGAAGCGCATGTCAAATTCGTAGAATCGCTGTAATGTTGGATATTTTGCTTCACCATCCTGTAGGTCTGCTTTATCTATTCTGAGGCAAAGATTTTTATCAATTGAGTATACCAAAATTGTTGACATTTTATTGTTTGTGTCAATTTGCTTAAAGGATATGGATGTTGTTATATGCTTTAAGTATCTAGATTCGGTAGATAGAGTGTCTTCTTCCAGTATTGTCAGTAGACATTATTATTATTTTCATTTTTTGAAGGTAAACCCAGTGAATGCGGGAAACTTCAAAATGGAATAACTACTGATTGTGAAACTTGTACTCCATTCGATCCCCCTCAACCAGTGATGAAATCTATACTTAAAAAAGATTATAACGTCACTTCCGGTGATGACACTGAAACGCTTTTACAAAATGCGTCCAATGATTGCGACGTATTTCAATGGGAAAATTCCCCAGAAAACACTTCCACAAACATTACACACTCGTTATGTTTACCGGAAAGCGATCTTCCCTCAAAACAAGATAATGGAAATAAAGAAGACACATTTCCGGTGAGAGAAAACAGTGATGCAAACACACTTCCGCTTTCTTCCTCCTTTAATTCATGTGGGACCCCTCAGACGGATAGGTTTGACGATTATAGTTTATTTGACTCTTCTGAAAATCGTGGTGAAGATGAGCTTGAATTTAGCGATAGTGTGGCGAGTCCCCAAAAGGGAAACTGCTGGAACAGAGATAGCGGGAACTCTTTGCCATGGCAGAATAACGATACAAGCCCCTCCGACAATTTGGATATCGAAGAAAGCATGATAGGATCGAACTCAATGGGACGATCCCCATCGGATGATAATAGTCTTTCATCTCATAACTTAATACATATATCCCCTATTGAAAATAATTCAAATACAGATCCAAAGATGGATTTACAACAGACTGGCTTTGAATTTTTGACTGAAAGTGATTTAAATGGTCAACGAAAAGATTATGAAGTGGACACACTGTTAAATAATATTGGACGTCTGTCCTCGGACGAAAGTACCGAAATTTATTCCCAAGAAGCGAGTGGATAAGAAGTGTGCATTTGTAAGTGATGTGAATGTGGTGTCCATATTGTTTACAATCCATTCATTAGAGTGTGTTACAGATTACGATTTGATGTTTTCGATTCTGTTCTTCTTTTCAGACTTGGAAGATAATCTTCATTCGTTCTCAAAGAGAAGAATACAACTTTGTAATTTTTGCGGTCGATAAAAGAAACATTTTCAGTATTGTTAAAATCTTTCTTACTAAATTTTATTGCACATTCGTTGTTACGAATTTATGACATTGCATTGCAGGGGAATTGTTTCTTTCGTATGTGATTGTTACATTTTAAAGTAATACATGTTATTTGCACTTTCCTGCAATGTTTGATAGTTTATTGATTATTTGTTGTATAAATTTGTACAACGCCATCTTGTTCCTTCTAGAATTCAGAGCGTGCAAAATGAAATAAAATTGTTCAATTTGTGCGTTTTAATCACTTCTTTAAATACCAACAGCTATTTGCCTGCTGTTGGATAATCATATATCGCCCTATGCCAGGCACGTTGAGCGTTATTTGATTCTTCTTAATGTCAAGATCTGCCCAATTCTAGGACATGACATTTGTAGCAGTGCTTGCTCTCAGTTCGATCTAATGAACCGATATGGAAGTTCCCTGAATTTAGATGATTAATTCTAAAACTCCTTGATTTTCAATGTACAGTTCTGAAATCTGTTATTATAGGATAAAAAAGCTATTTTATGAATTGAGAAATATGTGTAAGAATGTGAAAAATATTTCAACCTATACCCTTAGTTCCTTTGAATGTAACAAACACGGTTTTGTGTAAGGCAAATTGGTTTAAAACTTCTAAATTCATTTCCACAAGAACAGTGAAGGCTGTAGTGAGATGTATATTCTACATAAGTTACCTGAAGAATTTATTACGGATGAACTGAGCGTAGAGAAGGAGGCGGTCCGTTTCTTTGTACATGACGTTGACTGGACCAGCTTGATGACAAAGAAACTGAAAACCCAAATGGCTCATTAGAAGAGATTCGCTTTTACTGCTGGTTCATCCACTCGGAATTTATTTTATTTAGTAGTCCTTAGAGATAAATATCATTCCCGACAGGTGTCGCTGTTGAATAATATATAGAAAATATTGCTAAAGGAAATCTGGACGTATATACAGTTTTGCATCAAATGTATATTTAGCGTCTTTTCTATAGCTGAGGCCATGTTAAAGCTTTTCGAGAAAGTCCATGTCCAAATACATTCATTTCAAGTACCCTGTAAGCAGTGCGTACACTAAATTGGAATGGTAAATACGTCTAAGATGCACTTTTTCAGTCGTGCATCGGATGTTGCCTCTGGTAGTAATTAAAACCTTTTGAAGAAGTCTATCGTAAAGTACTAAAAGTCTTAATGAGACCAAACTCATAAGTTGATACATCAAAGATGCTTAATATGTCTTGTTTTGGATGTTTTCCCAGTTTCCCAGATGTCGGTATGTTGTAATCCTCGGAAAGAGAAACTAAACCCTGCGCTTCTTTACTAAATCGTTCACTACACAGAGAAACTTCTAACTGTTTTGTTTTTCTATTTTCATTTAAACACGATTATGAAGAATACCAATGTATGAGACGATTAACACTAGGAGTACGTTAGACTGAGTATTTGCAGCAGGTGACAAAAACAAAAGCAAAAAAAAAACAAAAAAAATCCTTGACAAATACATATGAGTATAGTATTTCTCTCAAATCGATCACACAGTCAGGTTTTATTCCCGAATTTATATGCAAAATTACATGATGTTCAACCACGAATGTAGTATTGATAACTAAATTTGAGTAAACATACTTGCTTTTTCGCATTAAGGTATGTCACTCGTCAGCTTTTCCCTTTCGAGAAAAATTTAGTCAGAACCTATTTATTTCAAGTCCATTTTTATGACGTATTTGAATTAAACAATACAAACTATACAATATTCAATTTAAGAACAGCTCACAAAATTGTAAAGCAGCAAGAATCATGGGGGACTATTTCTAATGGTGGAAAGATATTTAGAAGAAATTTTTTTTCAAATCTTCACATTTATTTGGTTAATATCTTGGTCCTATATATTTCTATTCGGATTTTTTTTTTCATTATTACCGTTTATCAGTTTTTTTTGTTTTTTTTTTTTGGGGTTTTTTTTTTTTTTTTTTTTTTTTTTTTTTTTTTTTTTTTTTTGCATGTTGAAAAGTTTGCGAAAAAAGGGTAGGTTTGTACAGTTTTTATTTTGCGTTTTCCAGGAATATTAAATATAGCTTTCAATTGAAATTTTTAAAACAAATTTTACACATTCACTCAACAGACTTAATTTGCCAAGAAATGAAGATATATTTAAAAAGTCAGGATAAAATTTACACAGTTTTTCGCCAGAAAATCGGATACAATATCTCAAAATGTACACAATGACCCAAATTTTTTCCCATTATTTTAAATTACACGATACATTCATACGATCAGCACTAAGGTTATAAAAGACTTGATACATATGGCATGTCAAACGTTGCAATATTCGATCTTCTCCATTTGTATTGTATAACTTTCCATTTGTATTGTATAATTTTTCATTTGTATTGTATAATTTTTCATTTTGTATTGTATAATTTTCCATTTGTATCGTATAATTTTTATTGTATTCTATAATTTTCCATTTGGATTCTATAATTTTCCAATTGGACTGTATAACGTTTATTTGTATTCTATATTTTCCATTTGTATTGTAAAAAAATTATTTGTATTGTATAATTTTTCATTTGTATTCTATATTTTCCATTTGCATTGTATAATTTCTTATTTGTATTGTATGATTTCTTATTTGTATGCGATAATTTTTCATTGGTATTGTATCCGAGGATTGTTTATTTATTTCGTTACGAAGGATGTCATTGGTCACTAGCCTGTACAAAGGTTTCAAGTGCCCAACACAAACTTAGTCTAGTACCCTTCCAACAATTCCGATCGCGCACTCTCTACAAACACAATCTCGGCTCCTCTATTTGCGTGCATGCTAAGGGACGACCAAACCCGAAAACCCAGTTTCTTGGGGGGGGGGGGTAGGTACCACCACTCAAGGTTAATTTATTTATTTTCTCAGTCAACATTTCTATTAGGACAGATTATTTATTTTCCATCTGCCAGCGCTCCCTTTTAGAATCCAATGACCGTCTAACATGCAAGCAAATACATATGAGCCGAAGGCAATTGTTTCCTATGCGGGGCACCCCCTACTTATTATTTTTACCACAGTGGTAAGAATAAGTAAGGGTGCCCCGTATACGAAACAAGTGCTTGTGATATGAGCCCAATTTGTTTGAGCACCCGGAACATCTTCAACCCTATACAGGCTGAAACTTGACCAATAAAATCCTTCGTAACGAAACAAATAAACCATCCATGGATACAAATGAAAAATTATAGAATACAAATAAAAATTATACAAAACAAATGAAAAATTATACAATACAAATAAAAATTTTACAATACAAATGAAAAATTATACAATACAAATGAAAAATTATACAATGCAAATAGAAAATTATACAATGCAAATAGAAAATTATACAATGCAAATAGAAAATTATAGAATACAAATAAAAATTATACAATACAAATGGAAAATTATACAATGCAAATGGAAAAGATCGAATATTGCAACGTTTGACTTGCCATAGATACAAGAAAATAATTTATTGCCTATCTACATTTTTAATACCACAAATATGATATTTTTAGTGCAAAATTTTCACACAATACTTTACGCGCATTAAAGCAGGATTTAAAAAAAAAAAATTAATTAAACTATTTTACGTAACATAAGATTACATTTATATTTATTGCAATGATTACATTTGGTAAAATATGATAAAGGTTAAAGTGATTAACTTAAAAATAACAATTTAAAGTGCAAAGAGGTCAAGTTAATTGTATCGTTGCTTAGTAAGATGTACACTGACCCCAATCTCTCTCTCTCTCTCTCTCTCTCTCCCCCCCCCCCCCCCGATTTTGAGTCGTGCTATATGAGTAGTTACTAAGTGTCTAAAATATATTTCTCAAAAAATCATTAATATAACTTATAACGCGAGTGACAAACCTGAAATATTCTGTTAAAGTATCCATCAACGCCATTCAATTTTGTATGATGTCATGAACCTTGAGGATCGGTCCAATTTGAAAAGAACTGATACAATTTCTAGATGAACTGAATGCAAAGAGTCCAAAACACTGCAGCTCGTTTAGTTACAAAATCATCGAAACAGGAGCACTTTACTCCTGTTCTAGCAGACCTTTATTGGCCTTCCGTTTATTTTTGGCCACAATATGAAATATTGACATATGTTTACCAATCGCTACACGGGTAAGCTCCATCTTATATAAAGGATATAAAGCAAATCCCCGATAGCCTTGTGTTATAGTGCCTATACAGCAAATCCCTGGTAGCTTTGTGTTATAGTGCTTATATAGCAAATCCCTGATAGCTTTGTGTTATGATGCTTATACAGCAAATCCCTGGTAGCTTTGTGATATAGTGCTTATACAGCAAATCCCTGATAGCTTTGTGTTATAGTGCTTATACAAGACATCCCTGATAGCTTTGTGTTATAGTGCCTATATAGCAAATCCCTGGTAGCTTTATGTTATAGTTCTTATACAGCAAATCCCTAATAGCTTTGTATTATAGTTCTTATACATCAAATCCCTGATAGCTATGTGTTATAGTGCTTATACATCAAATCCCTGATAACTATGTGTTCTATTGCTTATACAGCAAATCCCTGATAGCCTTGTGTTATAGTGCCTATACAGCAAATTCCTGATAGCTTTGTGTTATAGTGCTTATACAGCAAATCCCTGATAGCTTTGTGTTGTAGTGCTTATACAGCAAATCCCTGGTAGCTTTGTTTTAAAGTGCCTATACAGCAAATCCCTGATAGATTTGTTATAATGCTTATACAGCAAATCCCTGGTAGCTTTGTGTTATAGTGCTTATACAGCAAATCCCTGATGCTTATACAGCAAATCCCTGATAGCTTTGTGTTATAGTGCTCCCTGATAGCTTTGTGTTATAGTGCTCCCTGATAGCTTTGTGTTATAATGCTTATACAGCAAATCCCTGGTAGCTTTGTGTTATAGTGCTTATACAGCAAATTCCTGATAGATTTGTGTTATAATGCTTATACAGCAAATCCCTGATAGCCTTGTGTTATAGTGCCTATACAGCAAATTCCTGATAGCTTTGTGTTATAATGCTTATACAGCAAATTCCTGATAGATTTGTGTTATAATGCTTATACAGCAAATCCCTGGTAGCTTTGTGTTATAGTGCTAATATAGCAAATTCCTGATAGATTTGTGTTATAATGCTTATACAGCAAATCCCTGATAGCTTTGTGTTATAGTGCTTATACAGCAAATTCCTGATAGATTTGTGTTA